TATTTACATACAAAAATTATAAACCAGATTCTCAGTTGGAATATGTCCAAAATGTCCTCAAAGCTGGGTAGTTACGATCTCCTAACACACACACACACACACACACACACACACACACACACACACACACACACACACACACACACCTAAATTTCCGCATATATTTTAGTTCAAGGATTTCAAAACTGACATCATTCTAATGTTAAGCCCCATATCCTTACAATAAATCTCCCCTCTGAACGCATCCACCCACTTCGATTCCCTCATATGAACCCTTACACATACATACATACATACATACATACATACATACATACATACAAACATACAGACAGACAAGTTCACATTAACACAACATACACAAGAGTCAGTTCAGATCCACAAATATGTACACACAATAAGTCAACTCCAAGACCAGACCGGGACAGCTGTTAAAAGCCTATTTATCACTTAATTAAATAATGGAACCGAGGCTCCTATTAGCTATTTCTTGATGACAAAATAGATCCAAGGTGTTTAAGTTTAGATAAAAAAAAATTGTAGTGGTACAGTTTGTTAGGAGTTTGACAGGTGGTGAGAAATTATTCCATTCAGGTGTTTTGTGTTGTATTAAAATGAGAGATAATAATGACGATAATAATGATGATAATAATGATGATAATAATGACAATAATAAAAATGATAATGATACAACTACTAATACTAATACTACTAATAATAATAACAATAATACTAATACTTATAACACACACACACACCTCTTCCTTCGTTCATTCACTTCCATCATCCATTCTCACTGCTTTAAACATATAACCTACATCAGTGAATGAATGAATGAAAATGAAAGAAACTGAATAAAATAAGTATCTAATTTTAGTACTCTTTCGAACAATGTGCGTGTGTGTGTGTGTGTGTGTGTGTGTGTGTGTGTGTGTGTGTGTGGTGTGTGCGTGTGTGTGTGTGTGGCATCAAGTCTGCCTCCTTGGGTATTAAAGTGAAGAAGAATTCCTGTCTGTGGTAGCGACGACCCTGAAGTGTCCTGCGTAGGGAGCCAAGTGGCCAAAGTGTAAGACGAGTTGGAGGAGACGAGGGAACATAGTTTTCCCTGATTCACGTTAATTCTTTCTGTCTGTCTGTCTCTCTTTCCCTCCATGTTTCTCTGTTTGTCTCTCTCTCTGTCTCCCTTTCTGTTTCTCCATCATTTTCTGCCCCCCTTCTCTCTCTTTCCAATCTCAATTCTAAATTCAGGTAGGAAATAACTCAAAGAATTCTTCCTCCTCCCCTCCCCCCTCCTGTGAACCCCACCACTTTCCTTACGCAACAAGATTAAAAAAAATAGACTCCGAATACCACATAAGACAGAGAAAATAAAATACAAATAAGATATATAAACACACAGAAAAATAACGTCTCCCTTTGCCAAGTTTTCGGATTCGTGTGTGCCAATATGCGCGCCAATAGGTCTGACGCAATCCTACCCTCGCCCTTGCTAGTGTGTGTGTGTGTGTGTTGGCTAGACTAGGTTGGGCGGCGGCATGGAACCTAGCTCGTCTCCTATCTCTGATTACTGCTTTATCTATCTTATTATCTTCTTCTTTGGTATTTATTCTCCTTCTATACTGACTTATACTTATTTATTTGTCACCTTGCAATTCCCTTTTGACGTACTAATCTACCTATCTATTTAGTAGTAGTAGTAGATCTGCGGCTCAACTCAACACAGATAGGATAGCTACCTACTGTATGTATTAGGATATTTAACTTTAAGGTAATAAAATGGTGGCGATGGTGTGGCTATAGGGGGAGGATGGAGGCCACTGAAAAAAAAATTAGTAGTAGTAGTAGTAATAATAATAATAATATTAATAATAATAAAAAGTAGTAGTAGTAGTAGAGGTGGTGTTGGTAGTAGCGGTATTAAGTAGTATTAGTAGTCCTTAAAAACAGGTGTAGTACCAGAATCCTGGAGGATAGCGAATGTAATACCGATTTTCAAGAAGGGGGATAGATCACTATCCGCTAACTACCGCCCAATCAGTCTAACATCAATAGTAGGCAAATTACTGGAAGCAATCATTTCAAACTCTATTCGAAATCACCTGGAGAAGCACCGATTGATCAATGATTCCCAGCATGGCTTCACAAGCGGACGTTCTTGTCTAACTAATTTATTAACATTCTTTTCATCAGTTTTCGAATCGGTGGACGAGGGACACAATTATGATGTGGTATATCTCGACTTTAGTAAAGCCTTCGACAGAGTCCCCCACGAAAGACTAATTAGAAAGGTAGAAGCTCATGGCATCAAAGGTGACATCCTTAAATGGATTAGGGCGTGGTTACAGGACAGGAAACAGCGAGTGAGCATTAGCGGCACTAAGTCCCATTGGAGCAACGTCACAAGTGGAGTTCCCCAAGGCTCAGTACTTGGACCATTATTGTTTATTATATACATAAACGACATAGATATCGGCATAGACAGCAACATAAGTAAATTTGCTGATGACACTAAAATAGGACGTGTTATCAAATCTGACGAGGACTCGGCAAAACTACAGGAAGATCTAAACAAATTTTTCGAATGGTCTGAAAAATGGCAGATGAAATTCAACGTGGACAAATGTAAAGTACTCAGTATAGGAGATGTAAACAGGGAAACCAGATACCAGACGAACAACGATGCCATAGAGAAATCCGACTGCGAGAGAGATTTAGGAGTAATGATAAGTAGGAACCTTAAGCCAAGTAAACAATGTGTTTTTGCTCGTAACAAGGCTAATAAAGTACTTGGGTTCATACAAAGGAGTGTTAGTTACAAGACTAGCGAGGTCATCCTAAAACTGTATCTTGCTCTTGTGAGACCACACCTGGATTACGCAGTTCAGTTCTGGTCACCGTATTACAGAATGGATATAGAATCCTTGGAAAGAATTCAGAGGAGAATGACAAGACTAATCCCGGGCATTAGGAACCTTGAGTATAGAGACAGGTTAAAGCATCTTAATTTGCACTCCCTTGAGAGACGTAGAGCGAGGGGCGACCTGATAGAGGTGTATAAGTGGAAGGCAGGGCTAAACAAAGGGGACATTACAAAGGTACTCAAACTATCCAACCAGGAGCGAACTCGTAACAATGGTTTTAAATTAGACAAATTTAGATTTAGGCGTGAAATAGGTAAACACTGGTTTGGAAACAGAGTAGTGGATGAATGGAACAAGTTACCAAATATCATCATTAACTCGAATACGCTGAATTGCTTCAAACATAGGTTGGATGCTCATATGAGCAATAGGGGTTGGGTGTAAACGGGACTGCCCAGTATGGGCCAATAGGCCCGCTGCAGTTTCCTCCATTATTATGTTCTTATGTTCTTATAAGAACATAAAAATGGAGGAAACTGCAGCGGGCCTATTGGTCCATACTGGGCAGTCTCATTTACTAGTAGTAGTAGCAGTAGTAGAAGTAGTAGTGGTGGTAGTAATAGTAGTAGCAATAGTTATTTATCATTGTTACTGTACATTCCCATTATTATTGTCACCATCATCATTATTATTACGCCACTGTCCAGACTGGAAAAACGACACTATTATCACAGACGCTACCCACACCCTCTCAAGGTCACCTCAACTTCATTGCTATCATACGTGACTAACTCCACGTTATAACCTGAAACTAGACCACACTCTTATCTCTAATTTGTACCACCTGTAATTAACGTGCTTTACCTGACTCATCGATGCCTAATGTTCGCGAAGATCCGTACGGTGAATATTTGTCGTAAGTGAGTGAGGTTGAGAATCCTTACAAATACTGACTTATGCCATAACACAAAGCTGTCAAGGTGTCTTGTTATGTACGAAGAGAGTTTGGTTGTGTTTATATACCTTTGGTTAGGAATAGCCATCTTGAGGTCTTTGGTGATTCCTGATTGGTTGGCATCAAGGATTATCGTAGCTTCATGATGCTGTAATTGACGATAGATAGATAGATAGATAGATAGATAGATAGATAGAATGTAAATATGGTGTTCTATATACCCTGTAGACTAATGATGAAATATTACAAACAATTATTTTAACAGTAACTCAGATTAAAATATTCGGTATTATGATTATTGTTGTGCTCAGCTTACTGTGTAGAGATAAATTGTGGAGGGTTGGTGAGGAGTGTGTCTCATTCCTCACCACTTGCACCTCCACACTTCTTTGTTGGTTCGCCCCAAGTTGAAATAAACAGCTTCCTCCCGCACGGTCTTTACTGTTGACCAATACTACATTTAATCATCCATGTAAACAGTTTCTATTTCTAGTATAACTTATGATGTTATTGAATCACATAAGCCAGCCCAGTATATTAGCCCAATACCAAAAAAAAATGTATGTAGCTGCCGCTCCTCCCCCCAACGACCCCCGTAACCCCATCCCCGCTAAACACTTGGGCTGACGACACCACACCGGTGTGGTGAACAAAGACGAGAGGTAAACAGCTGCCAACTAGTGTATTATCCAACAATTCTATCGCTGTCAGATCTCATGTAACATAAAATTTCTTCCTTTCAGAAGATTTAGGAACTAAATATCAAAATGTAACATGTAAGATCTATACAGAAATTATTTAATGAAATTCTACAAATGTCTACGAATGTTTTCTTGCAGGACACTTATGTCAACCTAGCCAAGGGCATGCGCATGCGCCGTAGCCTGAATCACAAATTTAATGTTTAGTGTTCGAATTTAACAGAGTTTCGTACAACACTTTTTGTTTAATAAAATCGAAAGCCTTTATTTTCATATTTCATTAAATAAAACTATGCAGCCATACTCTTCTTTGTATAATAAATTTATATCTATATACAATACACTATAGTTTATAAAAATATAACACTACTATAGTCCTACTAACTCATATATGTGAGACTGACCGAAAGTTAAAGAAAATTCTTCCTAACTCTGGCATTTAAACGTTGCTTCAAACAGCAGACCCGCTCACACTGAGAGTCAGTCATCGCTGAGACGCGAGAGGCAAAGGTTGGACGCTCCACAGCCTGAAAGCAAGACAAAGCGGTGTAATAGACTTAAAGAAGCGTACACAAGACTTCAAAAATATATTCAAAATGTCTCATCTAAAGGTTTTGGCTCCTGCAGCATCAACTCTCAGTGATCTGTTGGAACCGCTACCCACCGAAGCAGGTAAATGATTATTTCTTTAATATTTCTCTTCAGCTGTTGCTATGCTCAGCTGGGTCACTATAACGAGGTTGGCTTCAGTGCATTTATTTTTGCCGGTTCCTATTGGTTATTCATGCCTATTAATATTGCTATGAAAACTGTAATTATAGGTAACAAGGAATTATTTATTGTGGTCTAAAATTCTACCTACTGAAGTTCTAATGCTCAGAAGAATTGCAGGTATCACACGATTGCATCATTTCCTTAAAAAGTCCAAATCCATCTTTTGTGCCGAAAATTTTGTAAAAGAATTAATTTCTCTACTTACAACGTATTTAGTAATTTGGTCGAATCGGTAGTAAAGGTTTCAAATTTAAAGGTAGGCGATTTAAGTGAGGTGAAGTGGATATGTCACGTCTTATCAGTGTAATGTTTAAAAATACATTCCTTCCTTGTGGTTTATGGCTTGATTTGAGTTATTCGGTAAGAGGTTTAGCTAAATTAACTAGTGAACCGTGGAGTGTGTTAATCTGAAGAGGTGTATAGTGGTCACGTCACTGTTAGCTTCTTCCGCAACACACACACACACACACACCCAGTGGTTCTATAAACAGCACCATGCCCACTTTAAACTAACCACCACCACCATCATTCATCAAGCACACATTGAACAACGATGTACTTGCAGGCAGCGGTGGTTGGTGGAGGGAGGGTGACTGAGATAGAGAAGAGTTTGAGAAAAAAAAGTTTACTTGTGAAAGTATGTGTCAGGCGAGATAAGTTAAATGTCGTTGTTAGTGCGGGGTGGGATGGTGCCAGGGTGAACGGCTTTTGACTCCATAGTTGATGTTATCTGAACGGTAGGATGGTTAAGCCGAGCGTGCCAGGGTTAACGGCTTTACTCATCGAAGCCAGCTGAACGATGATGAGGTGCCAGGGTGAACGGCGAGGCTCTCAGGTCCTTCAAGGTGTAATGATGGAAGTGTGGCCTCGCTAGGAGAAAGTAGGGGGGGGGGTTGGTGAACGGTAGCAGTTGCTAAGGGGACGCTCACTCACCCACCGAAATTACGAGAACGTCACAGCCAACCAACCATAATTTTTACTCTTACCGTGTAATATATAGGTTAACGGGAAATATATATATATACGTGTATATATATATATATATATATATATATATATATATATATATATATATATATATATATATATATAATGTTTTGATATAAAGATTCCCGTTACCGAAATAGCTCAAATTCGTTGGTAAAATCCACATGTAATAGAATTTATATTACCCATTATATTTTTAGTTATAACATTATTTAGCAGTTCGTACATGATTTAATACTTGATTTAGGCGTGTAAACGGTGAATCTAATCAATTATTTTCTTTGTTACAGAATTGACAAACATTGAAGACCCAACAGAGTCAAGAACCAGATTAGTGCTCCGTGGGCGAGTGGAGGAGGAGGTGCGGAAGTATACTCAAAACAACATTGTGCTACCACCCACTCTGCTGGACCAGGTGGCTGACCACGTCCTCTACCTGTCCAAAGATGAACCCTGTGGTCTTAGGTCAGTATCTCCTGCCATGAGTGTTCTGGGATGGGAGTTACACGAATTGTTATTTTGCATTGTATTGCCAGTAATGAATATGTATTTTTATTCACTCATTTTGTGCACAAGTAAATGGAAAAACTTAATTTTTTGGTAATTTTGAAGGGAAACATGACAACTAGAACTAAAATGTAACTACAGAGATAGATATTGTCCTGGGTAGCCTAACAGGTGATGCTAACATTGTATTTTTCTCTTGTCCTGTACAGAGGGTGCGTGATATTCGTAGCGTATGAAGACCCAGAGTTAGGGGAGCAGTGCTTGGCGCAGGTGAAAGCCGACAAGAACATGCCTTCCACACACTTCCTCGTACTCAAGCTAAAACCCGATCCCACCTCTTGGTACACCAAGATGGCCAGAATCTTTAGGTGAGTCGACCCTTAATACTTTTGTCCGAAGTCTGATAAATTAAAATTTTGATTGGATAGATTTTTAAGTTAATAGATACGCAGTTTGTATATTTTTGCATTGAGACTATTCGAATTAACCTGTTTTTATATGGTTATCTCGGTGTTTTTCGAGGCATAAAGTACTGATGTATGTTTTTCCAATTGTCCACAGGTCATTAGGCGGCAAGAGGCGAATGATCGTATCCCCCAAGTACGAGTTGACAAAGACGACTTTCTGCGAGTAGTTCCAAGGGTGTGTTGGGTTACTGTGTTATTATTATGGTGTTCATCACGAAGCTGCCACACTATACTACCGTGGGCCAAGTCTGGATGACGTCCTTATCACCACCTTACAATAATACTACATAAATGGTGGTCGATTGAACTCTTTGGAAGACGGATGACGGGGTAGCTGTTTTTTCTTCTGTTGTTCGAGTCTTCAGGTTCTTCACTAGCTTTCTTCACGCCACGTCTCAAGTTCATCGTGGGTCATCATCACACTTCACCTCGGGACGTGACCAAACAAACACATTCATCATCAACTTCAGCAGAATCAAAGTGATATGTATCTCAAGTTATTTCTCACAAACCATAACTCACACTGGTTGGTCCTCTCATTACTCACTTAGCTCATAAGAAGGCATACTGGAGATTATTTAGAAAGGAATGAAAATCTAGGAGTGGCACTGCCCTCCTTGCCTCACGGTGCTTGAGGTGTCGTGGTGTTTAGTGTTGTCATGCATCACCACTGTCCATGACTTGTGTAACTGTCAGTCATATATCCCCATATGTCATCATCATCATTTGTTACATTTTACCTGAAAGGAAAACTCCTTGGATCTCTGCACCAAACACCAAACTAGTTCTTAAGAAAGTCCTCTCTTTGTCTTCTGTCTGGGGACTATGACCAACAGGGCAACGGCTTCTACAACTTCCAAAATAAGTTTGAGTGTCTGTCGGTCACCCCAGACTCTGTGCTCAAAAAAAAGGATTTAACGTAATATTTGCTTTAAAATGCTCTTGAACTCTGAGAATGTAAGGTGCATGTTATGGCTCTTGTGGCCCATAGCTCACTGTATACTGCTCTGTTGATTCAAACTTAATTTAAAGGGAAACAAGAAGCAGAGTTGAGCTATTTTAAGTATTTTGTTTATGACTTTCAACAACTTGCCATTAATGGGCACACAGTGTCAGAATACCGTTATATATATATATATATATATATATATATATATATATATATATATATATATATATATATATATATATTGATAGATAGATATTGAGTCGACAGTGTTATTTATATGTATAACAACCTTGCCAGGGTGTTAACTAGAACTAACTGTATTCATTGTCCGGGTCTTACAAATGGTATAATGTTTGTAATTATTCCCGGGCAATTACTGTAACGAATTGGATCGACCCTTCGCCTAGTGCGATACATGAATGGGTCAACTCGGGTCTGTGGAGAAGCTTAAATACCATAAGGACTATCTTCTCCCACTGTCATATGGGAAAAGATATCCCTATGGGCATTTATCATTGGTTCTGGCAGACTTGTGATGCCCCGCAGCGCTGCTAAGGGTGTCTCCTAGTCAGGCACTGGTTGCCTCATGTGATATAGTTGCTTTGTGATAATATTTTTCTATCTCGAAAAATAAACGTACAAATGTTTGAAACTATTTATGGTCTTTTACCTCTTATCCTTCTTCCCTCCCCCGAGAAAAAATGGAAAATATATAAACAGAAAAATTAAAGACTGAACAAGAAAAATTAAATGAAAATATAAAAATTATGGAGAAATTATAAAAAAATAAATACAAACGAATAAGCAAAAACAAAAAAAATAATGAAACAAGAACAGATATGTATAAAAACATTGAATATAATTAAACAATGAATTTTATTGAATAGACCGCATAAATTAAACACTTACTGTATTATTTACTGCATTGATTTACAAAACCATTTACAGAGCCATTTGCAATCTTTTTTACAAATAAACACGCCTGTTAGATGTAGTCATGTGCGTACACACAAATATACACATACAGGAAAATACGCACACAAAACACAGGGCAATAGAGACACATGGAAATATACACACACACAGACAGGAAAAACAACACATACATACAATGAAACACGTACACATTGAAATAGACACACATAGGAAATACACATACACAGGAATACACATACACACGGAAAACACATACACAGGAATACACATACACACGGAAAACACATACACAGGGAAACACGTACACACACGGAGCTCAGCAACCAGTGTGACCTTTACAAATTTCTGGTGTAGCATAGGAACCCAGGTACTCAATAACCTTTCTCTCCCTCTCTTTTTTCCCTCCCATCTCTCTCTCTTTCCCCTCTCTCTCTTTCTTCCCCCCCCCCCAGTTCCCATTCGCGCTCTCTGTCGCTTTGTTGCCACCCTCACGGAATGGAAAATTTTTGTCGAGAAATCCTCTTTTACGAATACACGCTGTTTTTATTGTCTTTACAGCATTTTTTGGCCAATACAACGTTAAGTGGCATAAATCTTAACATTCACGAGTTTATGAGTCAAGTAATAAGCGTGTGTGAATGAATGTTAATGGAAACTTAAGTCAAGTAAATATTCGGTCTGGTTGGCCGTACCCGGTGACTCGCCGCGTCCGAAATCGTCGACGAGGGGAATAACTTTGTCCTAAACCGGTACAAGAAAAACTCTCCGACCACCCCTGTTATTGGATTTCAATCTTTTGTTAAGGATATGTCTGTTTTGTCTATCAGACTGTTATATTTCGCAATGTTTTAGCGTTAAAAGTGAGCAGTGAATCTTGAAGCCACGTCGAAATGATACTATTTTTACCAGGAGACAGGACTTACAACATGAGTCTGGCAACACTGGGAGATAGATTGAACCTCCAGGCGTCGTTTATGGACCCCCCAGCCGTCCATGATACCTCAACCGTATATATCAACCAATCCTCGCTTATATAACCCGGAGAAACTACTAATTAAAAATAAAGACAATACAAACAGAAACAAACAAACAATGCCTTCACTGATATTGATACATCTTCTAAAAATAAATTAAAGCATTAAATATATAAAAAAATCATTCCTTACATACCAAATAATTCAAATTCTAAACCTTTTTTTATTACATAGAAAAATACAACATACACCCATCTTCATGTTAATTGATGACTGGACGAAAAATATTATTCGTCAATGTAAGATGCTTTTGGGAAGGCTTTCGCAACGGCGGTGTGTGTGTGTGTGTGTGAGAGAGACCAACAGGAAGAGAGTCACAAGATCCACATCCTGTGTTCCTGTATCGTCGTCAGATTGCATCACCTCTAACGATGCTTCCACGCTCAGCTAATTGTTGGTCGGGCTGACAACACTGATTTGGGTAAAAGGTGAAGCGCTGATTTATACGTGATGGGACTCAACCTTGATATTGGCTAGGAATCAACCGTTTATATTGGCTAGGAATCATCGATTATATTGGCTAGGATTCAACATTTACATTGGCTAAATTATGCTCTGGATCTTAGGGACTAAAAAAAAAAATACATTCCACTAACGATAAAATCAAAGCAAAACCTAAAAACAATCAATTAAAAGAATAAATTTAAATATAAACCATAAGTAATTAAAACTAATAATAATAAAATAAATCCTCAAGTTTCATAGATTCTCTTAACAAAAAAAATTTGGACAATAAAAAAGAAAACAAAATAATAGAGAAAGTAAATTGCGTCTTTCACCTCTTCTTACGCCTTAAATACGCCATTATTATTTTTTTCGAACACGTTAATTGGTTATGTTGCAACAGGAGTCGTTGCCCATGATGGTTGTGGGCAAAAAACAGAGGGGTGGTTGTGGGCAAGAGAGGGAGGTGTGGTTGTGGGCAAGGTGACAAAGGAAAGGTTCCATTTTACGTCATCTTTCATATCTGGCCCAAACACAACACTATATATATATATATATATATATATATATATATATATTAAGAGTGATTGATTTGAACCATTTTCCTCCTACAACATTTATTTTAACTTAAAAAAAATGGGAAGTAATATTACAAACTCGTTGCCACGTTAACGAGTAGTTTTCCCTCGAGATATTCATACATTTGGATAATAAGTTAATTTTCTTCGTAACTGTTTATAGGAATGGGTTTCAGAGAAGCTAAGTATATTCATAGTTTAATCTTAAATACAAGCTAAGCATAATTTTCGCTTTTTATAGATATATCTGTTGTAAGGTTTATCTGACATCCGGTGTTGGTAATAGTTGTCCCATTTTCTCTTACACAAATAGTGAAAGGGGGAACTCAACAAAATCATGACACCCTTTGGAAGTAAGGTTATTGGCTTCGATTTCTTCAGGTAGGTGGACGACTCTGCTCAAGTACACGACTTCAAAACCCTGCAGCCTGTTAGTGTTGTCTTTACTGTTATTTTTACCACCATTATCACCTCTGAGCAAGTTGATTTACAAGTTTGTGTTGATTATAGTATGATTGTTGTACCAAAAATATACGATTTCGAAACAGCTGTAAGTGTTGTCGTTGCTGTTGTTTTTGCCATGTCTTATACTGTTTCTCTCTGTTGCCAAGATTCAATTACTACTTTTTTAATTACTATTCTACATATCCAAAAAGTTGTCCATATAAATTAATGAAGCCACATAAGGTCAAATAATCCTTCGACAAAACTTCACCAACTCTTCAACATTCAAGTCAAAGTCACCATGAAGTTTTTAAGACTCGTCAAGAGGAACAACAAGAAAGTCTTACACCACCATCGTCATCAAAGACTCCTACACCTCTTCAAACCATTGACAGACTTCAACCCCCCCTTAAAAAAATCTTAATCGACCTGTAAACAAAGACCTTCCTCCTTACCTCTTCTCTCTCCACCTCTCCAGTAAGACTCCGACCGCCCACAAAGTTCGCCAAAGATCAATGACCGCCAAGAAAAGTTCACTCCCCACCTGTTCAACTTTCACAAGACCTTCCTCCTCCTCCTCCCTCCCTACCTACAACTCTACCCCCACCCCCCACACACAGACAAGCAAGGAGACGTCCAGCGGGGGAGGGAGGAGGAGGTGAGTTCGACCCTTTCAATAACAAGAGTTTAATGACACGATCAGGGTGTTGAAAGACGAAATACAGACAAATCGTATCTATTCTTTTACACAATACAGTATATACCCTATCTATACCAACCCGAACTATATCCTACCCTTAAAAAATAAAAAAAATAAAAATAAACTAAAATAAAAAAAAAATAAACGCGTTCTTATACAACCTAAAAATCGGATTCGGATTAATACGAATGTAATCAAAATGACGTAACAGATATAAACATTTTCACCACATAGGAAGATAAACTCATAATTTTTTTTGGCTTATCTTCTTGACCTAGAGACAGACGTTCGTTGACGCCTGAGACAAGAAAAATCAAGAACAAAATGACCAGTAAAATGATCTCAATAAACTCATCAGAATGGATTTATATTTTTAAATTAACTAAGTGTCCTAAAGGGTCTCTCTCTCTCTAACAAGGATATGACTTCGTTTAGTATAAGAGGAGGATCAAACAACATAATAGGTCTGTTTGATTGAGTTAGTTATTGTTGTTAGGTAGTTAGCTAAGTTGTTAGTTAATTATTTTGTTAGTTAGTTATGATGTTACCCCGGGTCGAGTGTATTTCTTAACATACATCCTCTCCTTGTATTAATTTGACCTCAATAATACCAAACTCAGCAACTCGAGTCTGTCACGTCACAGTTTCCATGTCGTTTTATTCCCCAACGTAGCCACAGTACTGTACATACTGTAGATGCTATTTTTGTCATTACTTTAATTTTTTTTGCTATTTTTTTTCTGGTTATCAAAAGGTGACTTTATAAACAGATAGATAATAGACAGATAAATAGCCACAGAAAGATAAATTATGTCTGAATATTAGCTATTGAACTATTGACTATTTCTATTGCATCTCTCTCTCTCTCTCTCTCTCTCTCTCTCTCTCTCTCTCTCTCTCTCTCAACATTACACCATTACCTATGACCACCCCACAAAACAGTCATGTGTACACGCATTGAGAAATCGCTAAGTAAGTGCATTTTCTGCGCCCATACACACACACGATACTTTCCTAATTATGCTCGATTATACTCGCTCCCGCACAAAATACAAGACTACCAGTACGCTGTGTGCTCGCCAAGTAGCCATGACCCCAATAAGATATATAGATTTCTACACAATAAATGCTAGAGGGTATAACGCGGTATCTGGCAACAGTGTACAAATCAACTGCCGCACACCACCATAATCTTCAACTCTCTCTATTCTTAAGTTAGATTTTAATAGTTTTTAAAATGGATTAAATTACAACCTCTTCTACTCTCAATTGGGTATTTAATCACATATAGAATTTAGGGTTGATCAATGGCGGATAAAATCACTTTGAAATTATAGTACTGTAGGCCGTTTAGGGAGAGGTGAAGGTAGGTATATTACAGTACATTATTGATTCTGTACCCCTCAACCTTGTGCTAAATGAACCTTACATCTCGTCAAGGTAAAGCCATTTGGGTAGTTATTAGTATGCAATAGGTTAGGTTAGGTCAGTTTAGATAAAGTTAGGTTAGGTTAGATTA